TATATATAATGTATATCATATAATGTACATCAAGTACAATATGATTGTTACCATTGGTTGCCAAATTAGCCTAAATGATCAGAATATTAACACACTAAGGCATTAGTAACAGGTCGACAAATTAGAGATCGGACTTGGGTAGCAATCGCTACCCGATATATATAATAATTTACCCGGGTAACCCAATAATACCCGGATAGAGATTCGTTCAACAGGTCCAATCCCTACTATAACGAATCTCTTGCAGTATAAGTGATACCATCAATAAAATGTATTAATAATCAATTGATTATAAAGTTGCGTTACTTATACTGCAAAAGCTCCCTAAAAATAATTTAATAACATACCATTGCACAACAGGCGTGTGATATTGCCACTTGATTATCTTTTAGCGATTGCTCATCTTCAAGATTAATCAAGGATGTCAACAATTCAGCACGACCATCTTTAATTAAGATAGATTTATATTTATCTACAAAAGAAATAAATAAATCATGATTGATCAAATACAGAAAGAAAAACATAACAACAAACACACCGTTTCTAAGCGATAAATATGCAATTGATTTTGCGGCATATTTTCGCACTTCATAAATATTTGAATGCAATAAACGCATTAAACGATCCAATCCATCTAAGGGATATTCAATAATAAGCAGTTGATGTGATGCTAATTAAAAAATAAGGTTTATAAATAAATGAATAAATAAATAAATAAGGATTAAAAATTGCTAATAAAAATCAGACAAATGGTATTTACGATATGTAGAAAGGCATGAAATAGTTTTAGCTGCAAGACTACGAGCCAATTCAACACGAAGACGTATTTCTTCGTAAGAAGGAAGCGTATCATCTTCAGGTGAATCGTCATCATATAATGTTCCTAATTGGAAATCTGCTAATTTTAGAATAGCATCTAAAGCTATATCATCAATTAACATCTGTTGACATAAAGATCCTAAGTATACAAATAAGACATCATCAGGATTCGACAGTTAATAAGGTTTCATTGTAGCTTTCAAGAGACTAACCTGAGATTGACAAGTAATACAATACATTCGCAATATTTAAAATAACACTCGAAACGGAATCCAAAAATTTTAGAGTATCTGATAAATCTAATGTTTCTAGTTCTGATTTATTATAGTATAATAGGATGAGTTGATACAAATGTGGAAGACTTCCTTTCATAATAATATGAGATTTAAATGATTCTAAAAAAAATGTAACCTGTTATAATTTAATCAGAAAGAAGGATGGCAAGAAAATGATGCAGTATAGTAAACCAACCATTTCCGGAAAGACTAGCCAATGCTGTAGTTCCTAATAAATGGAGGTCACATGACTGAGTGGCCCGACACAGATATACTAACGCGTCTAACCCCCCATTAGTAATGAGATGAAATATTTCTTGTTCTGTTTAAAAAAATATATTTAAACTCATTTGTTGTTTTACACTACCAAACGAAAATAGTGTCACGCGTAATTATTTACCATTTCCACGTTCAACAATGTCAA